CACAAGCTGTTGTTGTCGACCAAGATATGCCTGGTTCACTTTTGTAAATTACATCTGATTTACTTGTTCCATTTCAAAACCCTGAGCACATGCATATGCTCAAATGGGACTCAATGCATGAGTCAGCTGGTCAGCACCGTAACAATATCACGACTTCCCCTCGTTTATGGATAACTTTGTGAAATTCTGAGAATACTCCAGAGTGAAGTAAAAGGAGGAAACAACAGCCATCGTGTTAACTAAAAGCCCTCTTACCACGAATAAAGCCCTCTTAGCAGAAAAATGTAAAATCCTTGAACCACCATCCCATCAATTCTTTGTACAAAAGCAGTTGCATTATTAATATGCATCCATAATTAAAGAAGCACTTGCCACCTACGAACTAAAAAAAAATCCCACAAGAATGAGAAGGTCAAATGCTCAAAGATCTAGACTCTCTAAAAGCTGTCAGCATGCAGTTCAATAGGCCTAATGTGCTGGCACATGTGAAAGCACAATGTATTTTTCTATTTTTGCATGTTTCCAGGTGTCAAAATACATCAGTTTTCCGATCGCTTTAAAAAAAAAAAAATCCCTGAAGATGTCAAGGTTGGCTTGTTTGTTTATCCAACAACTACAGGGGGCGGCTTAAGTACTTGGAAGCCACCTGCATAAGTTTCCAGATAATTGTCACTTGGCCTTCCCTGACGCAATGTTTTCCCCTCTCAATGCGCAACCCAGTCCCTTGTGCTTTGAAACTCTTCTCTAGCGTGGATGTGGACGTGAGAGTATCCAGTGACGAAGGTACAGCTTTAAAAGGAGAGAAATGAAAGAGGCAGTGAGTGCAACCTGCTCAAGGCTATTCTCACACTCTTTCCAACTACGGGGGAAGGATTGTGTCTCGGTGTGCTAATGAATAAGCTGAAATATTATTGAATGCTATATGTGATCAGACACATATGCAGTGGCGCTCTCAAGGACTCTCTATTTCTACCAATTCAAATGAGCATTGCCCAGAAATGAGCATAAATGCTTCGCGTGCCTTTCGCTGCAAAGCTGGCATTAAGCTACTAATTGCAAAATACCTGTAGATGTTACACAGTTTAAGACTCTGGAATGATGAATGTCTCTCTTGTTCTAGGTCATTATGGGCCCAGGTAATTGGGTTGCCTTGTGCTTGTCATGTTATACCTGGAGAGAAAAAAATCAAAATAAGATGAATTGCAGAGAAATGAATAGGCATAATTGGCGCAATAGGCTATTACACTCTTGAATTTGCAACATTAACCTGTAATGATTTGCAACAGATGTGAAAAGGAGCTGTTGCTCATGTTCATGTATCTAGCGCACTCAAAGATACGCTTCTTATTTTCTTTTTGCCTGGCTTATATCTCAGGGGATGCAGATCTTCTTACCCAATACTAAGTCATCTTCAAACTGCAGGTGCACAACAAATGCTTCTGTTTCTCGAATCACAGTTCTTTCTTTCTTTCTTTCTTTCTTTCTTTCTTTCTTTCTTTCTTTCTTTCTTTCTTTCTTAGAAGACATTACAATGAAGTCAACAACCATGATCCTCAAACCACTTTCCCAGTGCACAACCCTTTCTTCATTATGATGACTGTGCTAGCATGTTGGTTTGTGGATCAGACTGAATGTTAGTAATTTGGTGTTTTCAAAGCCTGGCTGCCAAACCGCCTCTTGTAAACCAACAATACTTTAAAGTGAGTGATTCTAAGCTACTGACAGGTAAAACAAGGCGCTCGCTGAAAAGCAACAACATCATAAAGAAAGCACTTGGCACCAATTATTGCATTCAAATATACTTGGATTTCACATGCTTGAATGTAAAACAGGTGTTCTGTAAACTGACAGGTATTTGGTGTGCTTATTATTCAGCATGTAGTGGGTGTCACAGCTAGAAGACAGAAGAATAGCTTTTCATCTCTTATTAGACTCAGTACACAACCTTTGCATTGCTTCTCTTTTAATCCATGACAAAAAATTAAAATAACTAGACACATAGTGGCATGTGGTGTGTGTGTGGACATGCCCTAAGCTCACAACATTTATTTGTGCCAGTTTACTTATTTACTTGCTTTTGCTTCATTTATTATATTTGCATCCTGCCGAATAACATAAATTTGTCTGGGCAGCTTACAATAAATACTTGGACTGCTGCTTCTAGCTGGAGAGCCTTTTCTTTCTTGTCATCTAGCCTGAATGTAGTGGCTGCTGTGACTCTATCTGTTGCTGAGTCTGCATCTCTTCACTGCCTTACTCTCAAGATATATTCCTTACTCTCACGTAAGAGCCTCTATTGTCATGGTCTGGGCAAAAGCCAGGACATATGGTGTGAATCAATGAATGAGGGCTTTTTGCTTGCCCCTGACCTCCATGCAATGATGATATCTGTGCACTAAAAGGGTAAAAAGTAAAGGAGTCCTGGATGGTTCAGCCCAAAGGCGACTGGGATTGCGGTGCTCATCTCATTTTCAGGCCGATGGAATTGGCGTTTGTCCACAGACAGCTTTCTGGGTCACGTGGCCAGCATGACTAAACCACTTCTGGTGCAACAGAACACTGTGACAGAAACCAGAGTGCACGGAAACACCATTCACCTTCCCACAGCAGTGGTACCTATTTATCTACTTGCGCTGACATGCTTTCGAACTGCTAGGTTGGCAGGAGCTGGGACAGAGCAATGAAAGCTCACCCCATCTTGGGGATTCGAGCCGCCAACCAAGAGGCACAGTGGTTTAGACCACAGCGCCACCCGTGTCCCTGCTGTGCACTATGCATGTGTGGACTCTATGCACACCAATCTGATCAATGAATAGAGGTTATGTGTGGTCAGTGGGCACTATCCCAGCCTCCTCACCATGTGTCTATTCTTCTGTTCAGAATGTTTATATAGGGCTATTGGCATTCTAGTCCAGTGCAACTGACAATAAGGGGACTCTAGAGCTCCCCAGCTACTGTTACTCAACAGCATACTGCCTTTGACTGGAGAGCAATGATGGAGCCCCTGTGACCCTCCCAATGTAGTTGGACTACAAGTCCCATAATCCATCACCATTGACTATCAATGGATGAATCAGTCAATTTGAGTTTCATTCAGTTTTTCCATTCAGCTGTCCATATTCCCACATCAGTTTGTAACATAAAAAAAATCATGAAACTTCATCAGCATTTAGTGCAGATTTATACCAATATACAGTGGTACCTCAGGTTACATATGCTTCAGGTTAAATACGCTTCAGGTTACAGACTCCGCTAACCCAGAAATAGTGCTTTAGGTTAAGAACTTTGCTTCAGGATGAGAACAGAAATCGTGCTCCGGCGGCGCAGCAGCAGCAGGAGGCCCCAAAGTGGTGCTTCAGGTTAAGAACAGTTTCAGGTTAAGTACGGACCTCCGGAATGAATTAAGTACTTAACCAGAGGTACCACTGTACACATTTTTGTATGTAGTTTTGAGTAATATATGCATTCTTGCAAACCTATTTATCATCAACAACAACAACAACAACCCCACTTACAGATTCATGTGTTGCATAGGAATGTCTGAAGGAGGCTTGCAAGTGGATTCGGCTGAATGAATTTGAAAGCTTTCATTCAGTCTAGAACCCTCATAGTGCAGGATTCCAGACTGCGGAGGAGGGAGAATTCAAAGGACGTTAAGCCAGAAGGGCTAAGAACCCACCTTCAAACCTCCCCACTCAACACTGAAATGTCACTATCTGACTAAATGAAGACATCTGAAGGCAGCCCTGTACAGGGAGGTTATTTAAATGTTTGAGGTTTTTGTGTTTTAATACTTCGTTGGAAGCTGTCCAGAATGGCTGGGGCAACATAGTCAGATGGGTGGCATCATAATAATAATAATAATAATAATAATAATAATAATAATAATTTATTATCATCACAGTGAGTTATGATATTTCCCTCCATAGAACCCTCTGCTAAACTTTTGCTAAATCATAACAATGAATAATAATGAATAAAGTAGAATAATGAAAGGTAGGGAGCTAATTTTTATTATTAGTTATCCACCCTTCACCATAAGATCCCAGGAAGGGTTATAGGTAATAAAACAATCCCACTTCAAAATTCTATGTATGCTTACTATGCAATATTACATACACTTACATTCTAGAAATTATTGTTAGCATTGATAATAATTTGATTTACATCCTGCCCTTCTTCCTTAAGGTGCTCAGTGAGTCCCAGTAACTCATTATCACTCCTTAGATGGAAGAAACCTTGTCATCTGTTGAAAAGAAGTTAGAAATAATAACCTTTCATTGCCAATGGAACTAGTCACCCAGCATTTTCCTGGTACTCTTTTAAGAAAAACTTGGTCAAGGTTACGTACACAAATGTTTGGCGCCAGGGTTCACAAAAGCACATCCATTACCCAACTCGGTGTGATTTTGAGTGATTACACTGGCTGACAGCGATAATATCAAGTAGCCAAGAAGGTAGCTAGCTGGCTAGAACAGAGCATCTGACGCTATTCAGCAATGCCTTTGGAAAAAAAGTGCTCTCGAATGCAGATGGATGCTCTTGCCTGCCAGAAGATAAAGAAGAGTAATGTGCGGCTATTTGACATAATGGGAGCAGTGAGCCTATCTGAAATATTCACAGCATGGCTGCACTCCAAGGAGCCTCGTCAGGGACCAAGAAGAAAACAAACCTGTCCTAACATTAGCAAATGTACATGAGAATCTGCCTTCCAAAGAGGGGAACTTAGCCACAATAGACGAGGCAGTGACTACCATATTCTTAGTAAATACCTGGTGTTTATCTACCCAACAGTTTAATAGAGCTTTTCCTGTAAGCCTCTATTTATATCTTCAAACTCACTGCTCATGAGTGGGTAGCTTTAAAAGCCCATAATTAATTAATATGCAAAATGCAGCAAAATGAAACCAAGGTCACCAATGTGAAAGTGCAATCCTTAATTCGCCCTAACGGGTGAGAAGGTGTTAGTCAGAAATGACCAGAGACTGAAATCAGTTTTTATGAATTTATTTAGCAGAAAACCAGTAAATGCGTTTTGAAAGTTAAAGCACAGAGGATATCAAAAGTAAATCCAAAGCCACATTATGGAGAAGTGAATCTTAGGAAATGGGAAGATATAAGAAACATTATGTGCTAGGAAAATAAATTACAAGGATCACATGGAAAAACAAAATAGAATATGAATATGCAATCTTAAACCACAAATTGGAGTAGCTAATCTATGCCAAGACTACAGCATGGTAAACTGGGATTAATTAAGCTTAATTAATTAGAAGGAAAATATTGAAAATATTGAAGCAACAGATAAAATTACTATTACAAATGGTAAGTATGGCATGCAAAGCTAGCAATAATGTTAATCATTTTTCAACTCTGCTTTGATTTACTGCCTAGACCTCCCACAAGTCCAAACTAATCGAAAGCTTTGCTATGTTACAGCTATATAGCAGCTTCTTCTAAACATTAACAAAAGAGGAAAGAAATGATTTTATAGCTACCTATAGAAGCAAGGAAACCTATTCTTTAGTGCTAAATTGGAACAAATGACAACCTTCAGAAAACCTGATTGCTGCTTGTTCCAATTCAGCACTAAAGATCAGGTTTCCCCAGGAAAAAGCGGTTGGGCAAACAGGTGTGTGGATAAGTCCTCAGCCCTGTTTATAGTTCTGTCTGTTTGCTTGTAAGTTGCGTTGGGTTGCCTTGGGCAAGAGAAAGCGTCTAACTAATTCAATAAATAAAAATAAATAAAATAAACCACAGGCCAAAACTCCTTGGCCAAAGTTTCCTTCCATTCCACTCCATAGCTCTCTGTGGCGATAACTTTGACTGTGTAAGGTGATGGGGAGAGATTTGGTTTAGTTGCTTTGCTGAAGACTATTTTAGCAATGATGGCACTACAAGGCCAACATGTCCAGTCAAGAGCTGTACTGTAAAAATACCTTCCTCAGGGAGTCTTCCTGCATCACTAGTGACCCCTATCATTTTATGAGGTGGCAGCAAATAGTCCTGTTTCCCCTCCCCCCCCCCCGTGCCCATTTAAAGATCGGTCTGCTATGCCAAGGGCACTAATTAATATCTTCATTGCTTATACAAGAGTAGAGCGCAAACAGTGGAAGGAAGTACAGTCTCAAGTCAATGATTTAACATAAATGCTGATTTCAAGCATGGGTGAGTTGGGCATCATCTTTTGCTCAAGATTAGAATTGACTTTATGTGAAACAGCAAATGTAATTTGTAGGCTTCATTGTGGCCGAATGCAACATAGTTAGAAGGAACTTGTCGGCATCCTCTGCTCGTGATGGGGGATCCTTTTGCCTGTATATCTGAGCCCAGTGTCTTTTTTTGTGCTCTCTCTCTCTCCAGCTCTCTATCTTCCCCCCTTCTCTCCCCACCATTTGCACTTGTTTTTCACTGACATCCTGGCCTTCTAGCTGACCTGAGTCAGCTACCAGTTCCAAATCCATTAAAATCTGTGGCTGCACTGTGAGGTGTTGGGAGAGTGAGAATGGAAGAAGCATTTTCAGATAAGAATAATAGACCTGTCTGTCAGGATCACTTGTCCAACAAAAGATAAAAGTAACAGCTCATGGAGTACTTTGTTATGTGTATGTATAATACATTTATAAATCTCTTCTTACCCTCTTATCAGAAAGAGCTTGAGCTGCAAACGCTTCCTCTCAGGGCAGGTGTTCCCACCTGCTTCAAGGTCTGAGGCAAAGGAGCTGCTGTGACGTGGCCAAAGGAGCCATTAATGGAAGGCTGCTTCATTTCTGCAGTGCAGTTTTAGGTGCACACACCTAATATATTTTAAAGAGTATGTCCCGAAGTGCATTTATTGCAGTGCTGCCCCCGGGCAGAAGAGATTTGTCCCCCATTTTGTTCTCTTTATTTCAGGATACATGAGAGAAAAGACAGAGGGAAGGGGAAGGTTTGCCTCTTGGTCGCACAGCTCTCTCCTCATCACCTTCAACTGCATCCTTACCTGCTTTCCATCCTTGCAATACAATGCAGGTTGTGGCTTCTTGCTCATGTTCCCCACCCCATGGCAGGACATAGGTCAGGACATGGAAGGAAATCTCATCATGCTAGAATCCATCCTGACTCACCTAATGGCAGTGGCCGGAGTGGCCCCAAACAGAATAAACCCCCATTTGGCAAAGAGACTGCAACATTCCCTGGCATGGATGTCCCATGATGGAGAAGATGTAAAATGAAAGGTCTGTAGGACCCAAGTTTCCAGGTTATTGTGTTTCTGAAGCTGATTCTCCGGTTTCATTTTAAGTCCTAAGAACATAACAATTGCTTCCCATTATGTGATGAGAAAACAAATGCCATTCCTGCACAACGGAGTACTTTTTAAGATCCCAGCATGTGTAGTGTAAAAAAAGAAACAAACAGAAAATGAAACAGAGTAATATTTAGTGTTCAATGGGCACCCTCTATGGAAGGAATTTCTAGCATAGAGCTGAATCCAGTTTTGGAAAATAGAGGAACAATGTACCATCTGTCATGGAAATATTAATTTTCAGCAAGTCAGAGCTGAGTTGCTCTATGCAAGACAGTAGAACTCAACCACTCATTTCCATGTACATAGTCATTCCATATTCCACCTCAGAAGTCACATAAATGGCAATCTTGGCACTTGTATTGTTTTCTGCTTGTAGAACTTAAGCAGAAATTACCATCAGGATTGACATTTGCCTTGGGTCTTCTCTCTCCAAATGGTTCTCCATACCAGACGGTGAGAACTGTTGTATTCCTCTTTCATATGCATGAGTTTCACCTTGTTGGAGGGAAAAATTATATATCACAAGAACATCCAGGGATGCCATGTAGGTCCCATTCTGCAAAAAAAAAGAAAAGGATTTATATTTGAGCTTTGACTAATACATCAAGGTCATCAATTCAGAAGGAAGGCTCAGACTGAAGAGGTAGCAGAATATATTTTTTTATTAATCTTCGGAATGCAGACCACAGCAAAACCAAATGGAACGAGTGCAAAAGAACTGGAAATGATCTGAGAGCAATAGTGCACACAGGAGAAATGTAACGTGCTCCACAATGCAAAATTAATGGTCACCTCCAAGCAATAAATATACTTGAAGTCACTTTTAAAAAGGGGAAGTGGGGGAGTTTTCATTTGCTTGGGATATGGAACCAAGCATTGCAGGATTTTCAGAAGGATGCAGATTTTGAAAGCTGTAGCTGTCTATCTGCTGCAACTAATTTAGAGTAGTCCCACTAAGGACTGTTCAACCTTCAGCTTCAGAAGACTGTATTTGTTTCTTTATATTGATTTATATTAATTTTTATATTACAGTACTTTGAATGGCAGAATACTAATGAGAATCTCCGCAATATTAATTATCTGATAGCTTCATTGATAGATAGATGTATTTTATATCCCTTTATCCTATAGGCTCTAAGTAGCTTTCAACAGTTTTTTCCCCCTTCTAAATGCTGATAGTTCTGTCCCCCAAAGACTAGTACATTTTATACACAATCCAGTATATTGTGCACACAGGCAACACACAAATGCTAAAGAAGTTAGCATTAGCAGCATGATGATGCAATAAGCTTGAGTCTACTATTTTAAAAATACCTGTCTACCTAAGCTCTTAGAATTCCATCATGGCTATTACTTTTTACTTTTGAAAACATTTTGAAAAACAAAAACTTGCAAGGGGGCTAGCACAGAAACTCCTGGGTCTACTACTCTGAAATGTGTCAATCCCCTGGGGGGGAGCTACTATGTCTTCAGGTTTCATGCACCTAGTGTTGAACAACACTCAAGAGTCCTGCCTGTTTTTGCTTCCCAACATATGTCAATGCAAGGAGTAAAGCATCGGTTTTCCAAATATGGCTTCTGATTATTAGACGAGCAACAACCCCAAAGCCATCCATATGGGACAGTGGCCCAATTCTTTGCACCACAGCAAGCCCTGATGCAAAGGGGGGAGGGGGAAGGGGTACCAAGAACATAAGAGAAGCTCTGCAGTATTAGCCAAAGTCCCTCCCAAGGCCAGTATCCTGTATCCCACAGTGACCAACCATTGCCAGAATATATGGTGATGGGTTGGATGCAGATGGACCCTAGCTAAGTGGCAGAGCCCATAATTTGCATGCAGAATGTCCGATTTTCAGTCCTTAGCATCTCCACTTAAAATGATAGGTCGTAGGTGGTAGGGCTTCCCCAAGATGATGGAGAGACATTGCTTGTCAGAACAGACTGTTGGACAAACAGCCTGATCTAATATAATGCAGCTTCCCTGCATTCCAAGATGGCTCAATTCAGTGTATGGCGGCTTCATATAACATCTTTTCACAATGCTCTGTGGACAAATGGCACCACTCAGAACTTACCTGAGTGCTCTTATAATCTTGAAGACCTCCTTCAGCTGTGGAGTCACAGGATCCACTTACCCCCTATTAGTGCTGGAAAAGGCCTCACACGTGTTGTTTGGTGTGTGTGTGTGTGTTTTCCCTTCCTGTCTGAATTCACCCAAACCTTGGCATTGAGGGATTCAAGTGTCTGGAAAGCAAGCCTTATGAGGAAAAACAGTTCTGAATTCAAGGGGACTCAATCCATTGCTCAGCTGCACACTGATGCATGTGGGTTTGTTTGCTCTTTATATTGGGGAAAAATATCTGATAAATCATCATCATCAGCGAAGTCAAAGGAAAACAATCAGTGGCAGCACATAGTCCAAACTGTGGCAGGTATCCCCAGGTGTCAGGTGTCATTGCTGTTGTCCCACATGCTTCAATTAAATATCAAGTCTCTTTCCCCATTAATATGTGCTGCCTGATCTGCAAACACAGTCACATCTGTTAGGCTTTATTTCAGGAATTTGATAAATAAAGCAAATGCTAATGAAAAACCTGTGTATGTTTTTCTGCTAAACCATTCACATGTAAGAATTCTAGGATTTATATAATCTCCAGTGATTAATAGCATCTCCTCCTTTGTTATGTGCCTCTTTGTCGAATCAAAGCCCTTCCATTACAGTGGTGCCTCGCAAGACGAAATTAATCCGTTCCGCGAGAGTCTTCGTCTAGCGGTTTTCTCGTCTTGCGAAGCAACCCTATTAGCGGCTTAACGGATTAGCGCTATTAGCGGTTTAGCGGCTATTAAAGGCTTAAAGGCTTAGGGGATTAGCTGCTAAAAGGCTATTAAAGGCTATTAAAGGCTTAGCAGATTAGATAAAGGGGGAGCGAAAATAATCTCTAGACTCGCAAGACATTTTCGTCTTGCGAAGCAAGCCCATAGGGGAATTCGTCCTGCGAAGCAACTCAAAAACGGAAAACCCTTTCGTCTAGCGGGTTTTCCGTCTTGCGAGGCATTCGTCTTGCGGGGCACCACTGTACTTGCTTGTCACTGGGAGGAGGGAATGAGGGATGCACTGAATCGAACCTTCTTTCAGTTAGGCCACATATACACTAAAGACTGAAAGAAGTATAGTATTAATTTTCTCTCCCCAGGGAAGCTTGGGAGATGTAGTTCTGTGGACTAAGGATATGTCACAGATAATTCTTATCTTATTCTTAAATGGCCTTGGTCCAGTATATCTGAAGGAGCGTCTCCACCCCCATCGTTCTACCCGGACACTGAGGTCCAGCACCGAGGGCCTTCTGGCGGTTCCCTCACTGCGAGAAGCCAAGTTACAGGGAACCAGGCAGAGGGCCTTCTCGGTAGTGGCGCCTTGCCTGTGGAACACCCTCCCACCAGATGTCAAAGAGAACAACAACTACCAGGCTTTTAGAAGACATCTGAAGGCAGCCCTGTTTCGGGAAGCTTTTAATGTTTGATGTATTATAGTATTTTAATATTCTTTTGGAAGCCGCCCAGAGTGGCCGGGGAAGCCCAGCCAGATGGGCGGGGTATAAATAATAAATTATTATTATTATTATTATTATTATTATTATTATTATTATCATTCTCACCAGGGTCCCCCCTCCAAGTCCTGCTATATCAATTGTTTTGATTTAAGATGCCAGAGCAGAGAGGGACATTACCATGCACACAGCCACCCGTCAGCTGCACCACTGTGCTTATTAGGAGGGAGAGGTCAGCACAGTGAACACACAACAGCAGAACCTATCAGCGGCTTGCGCCTCTGGGCTTCCACTGCACTGACCTCCTAGCCATCTCGTCCTTTCCTTTCCAGTAAGCACAGCAACATGGTTGACTAGGGGTTAGGTGTGCAGCACAACTCCTCTCCACCAGCTGCCTCTGGTCCTGAGACTTTCTGCATGTAAAGCATGTTGTTATGCAGTGCTGCAAGCCCTAACTTTCAAGATCCTGTAAACAACCCTAAAAATCAACAAACAAAAAGAGCAGATAATGATATTTAACCAACAAACAATGTTTAGATCAAGCACAGCATAATAGAGAGAATATATATAATATACAAAACAGGGGCTTTATAAAAAAACCAGAAAGATGCTAGCCCTATTCTGGTGTTCATCCTCTGGGTTACATCGCTATTTGCAGTGTCACCCTTCCCTGCGCAGCAGGTATAGCTAAGGTGTGATAAAGAAACTCTAGCAGACACCGAGCTGGATTAAAAATGGCAAGAACTTTATTGATTACAGATGTAGATAGAATTTTGGCTCAGGCATTTGGTGTATATCTGTTCTAGCTTCCTGCTGGAGGGCTGAAACTTAGGGTGATGCCAAGGATTAGGGCCTCCCCGTGATGCCAATCTACCAAGGTGGCCCTCCAAAGACTGTCACTGGAAGTTTTATGGCCCCCATTTGGCTTCTGGACAGAGACTTCCATTGAGATTCCTCTAAGGAGTACCCTGACTACACTGCTGGTTCATGACAGGATGAGGCACCACTTCACTCAAAAGCTTAATGACTAGGATTCCACTCAGTGCCTCAACCACCAAAGGTTGTGATGTTTCGCTATGTGTAAACCAAAACCTCCAGACAGACCAGTTTGTCTGCAGGCAAATTCCTTCCTGGCCACCACTGGCCACCATAGCAAGGTTGGGCAATAAAGGAAGCAAAACCATGGTTAAACAAGGAACCTAGGAAGCAAAATAGGGTTAAATTTTATAACAAAAGCCTTGACTTTAAATGCAATAAAAGGCTAATGATGCACAATTACAGGAGCATGAAAGTGAGGGAGTCAGGTGCAGATGGATTTTATGCATTGCTGGTTGACCGCTGTGGCTGCGGCCAATACGCAGTCCACCAGCAAGGCTCTATTCACTGGTGGGCCCCTGGTTGGCTCCGCCCATCACTATATAGAACCCTAATTTCCAAGGCTTTCACACTGCACAGAGAGAAAACACAAGTAGAGCTGGCCCCCTGCTGCAGATAGTCACCCTTTAATTCATGGAGGGTGATGGAAAGATGATGAGAGACAAAACTGTCACCCTTGCCTTCCCACTCTTCTATACTGGTTGACCCCAGAAGATGAACATCTCAAAAGAGCTCAGAGCTATTCTATTCAGACAGATCATGTCTATTCAGTTTTGTACGTATTTGAGAGGTGAGGAAGGAAACACTTGTTCCATTTTGATTACAGAGAATGTGGCACAATGTACAATATTTATAAAGGTGAATTCAGAAGTCACAGAAGATTTCTTACTTGCTGTCATGCTCTTTATTCATGACTGTTTGCTCCTGTTCCTTTAGCAAACTATATTGACTTGCTTTTAACCGCTAAAAGTATATAAAAATTCCAACCTCAGGTTCTTTCCTTTTTAAAAAAAAAATATATCCCAAAAGTATTCAGAAGAACACTTTGTTTCATGCTGTAGTTGCTTCTATTGAATATTTCACTCTGGCAGTAAAAGTAATATTTCATATTTCCCTGGGCATCTTTGTAAAAGTCTTGTAAAAAAAGAAAATTAGAAAAATATTGCACAAATTCTCCTGCAATGTGTTCATAGAGCAAGTTCAGTGACACCCAACCACCAAGACTTGCATTTACAGGGGGTGGGGAGTAAAGTGAGGAAGACCCTGAATGAAACCTGCAAGGCCAACCTCTGCTTTCCCTTAATTTTAGTCGTATTAGGATCCCACGATCCTTCTTTACAAAACCCAGCAACTAAAGGGCACCAATGAATGGTAGGAAAGCCTGTAATCTGAAGATCACTGACAATGCAGTAATGTCTGAGGAAACTATTCAGATGTTCTAACCACTACACCAGACTGGTTTCCCTCCCCCAGTTCCAATAATTACGCTATCCAGTTACCTTGGTTCTGTTTCCTTACTTCTTCTCAATGCTTCTAACTGAGCCCTGGTTGGACCTCAATAAGCTCCTTTTCAGATTATCATGCACATCCATCCCTAGGCATTCTAGATTCTTCATCAACCCTTTCACCTTGCTGTTGCCCTCAGCTCTCCTCCCAGCCTTTTCCCTTAGGCCTCATCTTTCCAGTCAAAGGCCATCTCTACATGGAGGGTTGGTTTACTTTATCTTCAAGCAGCTGTCCGAAAAGAAGGGGCTAGATTCACTTGATTTGTATATCATTATACAATGCATATTCCCTGGTGGAGCTGATGGGGGAAAATTGGTACCCAGCCCTTCTGAAGAACTGAAAGAGAAAGAAATGTAGTGCTTCCTGTGCCACACAGATCGTTCTTCATGATTGAGTGGTCTGTTTTGAAAGAAACTGGTACACTTGCAAGTGCCAGAGAAAATATATATACACAAAAGAGCTGTTAGTATATATAGGAAGAGAGATACAGAGAGAAATATATCACCCACTATGAATGATGAGTGGCATTTCATGCCACAAGTGACTTCGACTGAATCACTAGAACACAAAAGCAGCAGCCTGCAAAGGACTCATTAGGTGCGCAGAAAAGGAGCAGCCTTAGGTACTCCAGGACAAGAAAATATGGACAAAAGTTGACTCTTGGGGATGGAAATATGTCACCAGCTTTTAAAAGACTCATTGTGTAAACTGCTTAATTTTAACTGATGATCTGACAAATTTGTTACCTGCCCTTCATTGCAAAACAATATCAGAGCGGGCGAGCATAAAACACACACACATTGGTGGAGTCAATCTGGTGCTCCCCGTAGTGCATTTGCACTGCGCCAACCTCCCACAGTCTCCTTCCTTCCCATCTGGTAAGCAGCAGAGTCCCATCCAGCAACCAGCTTCTGCTCGTATTACAACCAGGAAGTTAAAACACAATCACAACAGACACCAATGCCCATCAAATGCCTAAATGAATAGATGCCCTCTTCAGCTTTCATCTAAAGGTGACAAGGGATGGAGCCATCCATATTTTAGATGGGGGAGAATTCCACAGTTGGGGCACCACCAGTGAGGAGGAGGATGCCAGTCAGCATTAAATTTTAATATGCTAATTTATATTTGTAGCACATTCAGAAATAGTGCCTGTAACTTTAATAGAAAACATCTCAACAAAGTGGGGAGGACTCTGAGCAGCTGACTTCTTTGCCTTCAGCCCAGCTGACTTCAGTCTGCTGTCTAGGTTGATGTGCAAATTAGAGGCCCCTGCTCACTGGACTAGGGCAGGAAGGAAGCTGGGTATGTTTAGTCTGGAAAAGAGGTGATATGACAGCCATCTTCAAATATCTGAAGGACTGTCACATGAAAGATGGAGTAATGGATTCAAATTACAAGAAAGAAGATTCTGACGAAACATTTGGAAGATATTTCTGATTGTGAAACCGACTATCTAGGAAGGTGGTGGACTCTCATTCACCGGAAATTTTTTTTAAAGTATTTGAGGGGATAAACAGTATTTGGATTGCCATATGTCAGGGATTCTTTAACTGTGATTCCATCATTGGAAGGGGTTGGACGAGATGACCCTCAGGGTCCCTTCAAACTTTATGTTTCTATAGTTCTAGGATAGTACTTCAGATGACTTCTTCAGGAGAGGGTTGTTCTCTGACAACCCTGCAAATGAGGACTATCCTTGGTAGAACAGGACTTATGGTCATCGTACATCAGGAGATATCTTAAACTTCTTGCTTCTAAGCACTGGAGGAAGAGAGTGTTTTGCTGAGTGCTCTTCACCTAATAAAAATACATTATGGAATGTCGCTAGGATTTATCCAAGGCCAGTAGCACACATGTTCTTCATTTCCCCAAGTGGTGAGAAATCCAGTAGTAATACTAAAAGGTTAAGTATCCTTTAGATGAGAGCACACTGAAGACTTGCAGTATTTGTTTTATTTGCAAATATGCAAACTGGCCCTGCTGAAATTAATCAGGCAGTAGTGGACAGCTTGATGGAATAGTACAGTGAGTTCAGCATGGTGCAAATGCGCCAGCAGGAACACTGGATTGGCTTTGCTGGTGTGTTTGCACTGTGCCAACCTTGCAGCCACCTCGTCCCTTTCCCTTCAACACCCCAGTTTGCAGCAGCAACAGCTCAGTCAGAGGGTGATCAAGTGAGCAGCACTTCTATGCCATCTACTACTCATGCAGAATCGTAGTGGCAGGTAGAAGAGCTTCTGTTCCTTCCCACATTGGCTTCCTTAAGAGAGCTCCCACATTCTTGAGATGTTTAATCTCTGGCCATATCACAGCTTGCTCATTCTCTTTTTCTGCCTCCCAGTTCAAGCTGCAAACTACCTCTAAACTACTTTCCTGCCCTTCCCCTCACCTGTAGGGTGTCTCCTTCCAAAGGCTGGGGAGAAAGATTTCCCTTTCAGGAAGGAACATTTAGCATACTTTGATCCAGTCCCTGATTAACTATGAAGGGAAACATCAACCAGTCAGCTTCACAAAGGTTGGTCCCTCAGCATACAAATCAGGATCTATTTAATAGAACCACACTTATCAAAATACTTCCATTTTCTTTTGAAGAGACAGCTTCCCCCAATTATATTATGGTGATTTCTCAGCCCATTTATTATTGTCATTTAGATTTTAGAAATGGAAAACACATCAACCTACAATTCAACCATTTCTGTAAAAAGATGATGCCGTCGAGAAGGAAATAGTGTTAGTGCTCCCTCTAGTGAACTGTGCCTGGGCACAGAACTGTTGTCATTGTTCATTATATTCAAGTGTGCTTTTTTATTAACCCAAAGTTTGTTTGTTTTTTATCTTGGTGAATACAGTCATTATAGGGAGAGAATATTTCCAATCTCCAGAGAAACTTAGGTCTCACTGGGGTGATGTGAACACATTTTCTATGTTTCTAGAAGATATTGCTCTTTTCCATTCGTAAAGGTATAGCCTGAAAGCACATGTGGCTACCTTGGTGGAACTAAATAGGTGCTGGGTCTTCTAGGTGCTTGGATAGAAGACCTCCTGGGAGTCTCATATATGGCCCTTTCAGTCCCACAAAGGGAGAAAGGCAGGACATACATGTTCATAATAAATATATAAAACCAACTGAGCCACCAAATAGCTCCACAGCCTTGGCATGATGGGAAGCAGTGATCAGCCCACCTGTCCTGGGCTTTATTTAGAATTGTGTCTGGCTACATGGAGGACTGATAAAGAGGTGATTTTTAAAGCACTTTGTATGATCAAGCTGCTATGGAAAGTGTGCACTTTAAGGGCCTCTATAAATACTTTATGCAGTGGATAGTATAGATTTATTAATTGCTATGGGCCAGAATCAGCTAAGTTGTTGCGCTAGCAAAAGCCAGTGCAATGAGTCCTGCTAGTACAATTGGACTTGCCCCTCCTCTCCCCTCACACACCTCCTGCATCCTGCCCAAATCTCCTCAGCAGAACCCCCAGAACAGCACATGGTAGAGGTGGAGGGGAAGGGGAGATCATTCTACCTGTCAAGTAGAAATGCTTGTGCTGATGGAACAATTGTTTTACTGCTGTGCTGAATTCCATCCCATGTAATATATGATCAATGATATGCTTTCATGATCAATAGTTCATTTCATGATGGCTTTAAAATGTTATAATGTTCTGATAATCAAACAGAGTGATTGGTTGGATTGCTGTACTTGAAATGATTTAGTATTTGGCTCTTATTGTAATGATGTATTCATTAGCATTTTGGGGAGTTGCTTTCAGCATATTTAAATAAATAAACCGAACTATTTCCCCTAAAGCAGGGATGAAGAATCTTTGGCCTTCCAGGTGTTTCTGGAATACAACTCCCATCATCCCTGATCGTGGGCCATGCTTACTGGGACTGATAGGAGTTGGAGTCCAGAAACATCTGGAAGGCCATAGCTTCCTCATCTCTACTCTAAACATCAGAAAATAACTAGGTGTCCCCCCCCCTCAGTCTAGTTACAATCCCTTTTCAAGCTCCACTCCATTGAAAGAATGGCATGACAGGGTCTGATTCCTTTCTTCAAATTCTCCTATTAATCGCTATCATTGACCACCCACCTCTGAAACCATCTTACCTGGCTGTTTGTCTGTAACACTAGTAGCAGTAGCAGCACCAGAAGAACTCTCTCCCTTTCCCTTTCCTGGATGGTTGATGCTGAGATGGAAACAGAGGCAGCGTCCCTCCCTCTCTCCCTGCCACCTGAGTTAGTTCACCGGTGACCTATCTGCCAGGGATGGAGGGAAAGGCTTACTTGCTTGCTCTCCACAACCACAGACACTGCAGTTCCATAAGGTTAATAGTGAAGTGGAGCTCTGGGTGATTCTGCATGGATAAAAGTAAGTATGTCTTCACACACAGCACATTGTTAAACTATGGAACTTGCTCCCATGAGGCAGTGATGGCCACCAACTTGGGTAGCTTTAGAAGAGGACTGGACAAATTCATGGAAGACAAGGCTTTCAATGGCTCGTAGCCACAGTGGCTGTGCTCTGGCTCCATGGTCAGAGGCAGTAATGCTTCTGAATAGCAATTGCTAGAATCCTCTGGAAAGGAAAATGCTCTTGTACTTGGGTTCAGCTTGCCACTTTCCCACAGGTATATTGTATATGGCCACTTTGGGAACAGAATGCCAGACTAGATGGGTCTGCAGGCTCATCTCATGTGAAGAAAGGGTCAAGGGTTGAGTGAATAAATTAGTAAATTAGTTGGTGGTGAGTAGGATGGAGTTCTTCTGTGGCTCAGATTACAATGTGAGCCAAACTGTTGAGTGTCATATAATTCTCACCTCAGAATGAAAGCAAGCACCACAAAGAACCCGAATGTTGAACAGAGCTCTGCTTGGAGATATTCAGTGACTCAGCTGTTTGCATCCCTTTTGCCTTCTTAAAGATGGTGTCTGCAGTATTATCATTAGCATTCAGTTTAATAACTGAAGCACAGGACTGTTGCTGAAAATAGACTCTAGTAATAAGTCCGGAACCTGTGGATACACCTGGATGATAGATCTGTCAATGTTTATTAGCTGTTAAACCTAAGTGGAACTTCAGAAGCAGTTTAGTCTAAATACTTGATGATGATTGCCGTGAAAATTTCTGAAGGCTCTTTACCAAGATTAAAAACAACACAGTCCTTGCTTGCAGACTTCCAATATAACAATCTAATCCAATCTAAAAGACATGATTGTGGCGGTATATGGGGAGGTAGCATGAAAACAATCAAATCCAGGTACTAATTCTTCTATAAATGTTTAACAACCAACACAATGCCCACTGGGGGATGTGTCTCTCAGAGAGGAGGAGCCAAATACCACGTGTCTTGGGGACAGTCAAGATGAGGAGTTGCTGCCTTCATGGCCTCTGATGACCTACCCCAAAGTCATCTGGCTGCCTGTTGAGCACTGTCAGAATGCTGGGATATAAGACCTTGTTTTCTCCTCTGAACTGAGTTCCAGATGCAGCCCACAAAGATTTGCATAGCAGGGAGTACACTCCATGTGCCTGTCAAGAAAGTCGGGATGAAAGATGATGCCAAAGTCAGATAATAATTCTGATTTCTAGTAAAGGTCTGTGAACATTTAAGGGCATTAAAAAATTGTCCAGTAGCACCTTAGAGACCAACTAAGATTGTTCTGGGTATAAGCTTTTGTGTGCATGCACACTTCTTCAGATATGGAGAGGTATCTGATATCTGAAGAAGTGTCCATGCACACGAAAGCTTATACCCAGAACAAACTTAGTTAGTTAATTTATTTATTTCGACTGCGTCAGACCAATCTGAATTTAAGGGCATATTTGACCAACTCAAAACTGGAGTATTTCAAAAGCTTTGAGGGCTGATCTAACAAGCCATACGGTGACATTGGAATCCAGGTTTTCCCATGGAAATGAAATATTCCCCAGAAGGGCTCCTTTGGTTCTCAAGCATCGTACGCAATCAGCTGTTGTTGGCATGCAAGGCATCTGCTTTCTCTGTCAGTGGACAAGGGGTGGCCACCATTCTTTCATTGTCTTGTGTTTCATTTTGCCTGGCTATTGACACCAAACAAGAGCCCCTTGATGCTTGTAAGTGGAAAATGGATGGTGGAGCAATCTGTTTATACAACCTCATTTCACTTCAAAATGGCTCTTCAATTCTTCTCTTTTGAAATGATGTTTCTTCTATGAATACTTAGAAAACTCTATGGCTGCCCAAATGAACAATAAGTTTATTTGCCGGATCCACAGCCAAACCCTTTCAATTTCTAAATAAGGGCTTTAGATTGATTTCTAAATAAGGGCTTTAATGTAAAGCAGCAAAGTATTTAACTCAGATATATGAGCCTTGTTTTTTTATCTTGTGTCCTTACTTGTGTAACTGCATTAATTCCTCTGATTGCTCTTCACAGAATTGCTGTTATTGCATTTTTGCTGTTGACCACCCTGAGCACCATTTGATGGAAAAGAGGAATAAAAAGTTAAGAAACCCAAACATAAAGAAAATATATCCCTTGTCAGTGTCATTTCCCATAGACTCCCTTCTTTGACTGCTCCATGCTCCCTCAGGAAGCCTGCTCTCATTCCCACAGCAAGGCTACGTGCACCATAATAGGCCTATTTGCCTCTTGAGCAGGCATAGGCAAACTCGGCCCTCCAGATGTTTTGGGACTACAACTCCCATCACCCCTGACCACTGGTCCTGTTAGCTAGGGATGATGGGAGTTGTAGTCCCAAAACATCTAGAAGGCCCAGTTTGCCTACGCCTGCTCTTGAGTTTCACCCCTTACTCAGGGGTGTAGGAAGTAACTTCTAGCAATATTCCACAATGGAAAACTTGCAATTGAATCACATTCTACCTGAGCACATGGCGAAAGCCTAAGGAGCAGGAGAGATACAGAGGAAGACAATTGACTCTAAGAGAAATGCAGCTACATGTCTTGACTAAGCTTGAGGATGTTTGGGCTGAGAAACTGGTGCATAAATGACTATGGATGTATAAGTTGACTGTCAGCAAAGTTGATGCTAGAAAGCAGGGGAAGAGGTATGTACAACACCCCAGATGTTTTGTAATATAACTCCAGCTAAGATTGGACCATATCAGCTCCAGCCAAGATGGCCAGAGTGATGGGAGTTGTTGGGAGAAGAGTCCTAATGTCTCTGAGCTGCCTCTTGCAGATTTGCAGCCTCAAATGTATTTTTTAAAAGTTTTTAAAATATCTATCAATTTGAGCAGACAGTTTGAAGCTTTACAGTTCATTTGTTCCATTCACATTCCACCCTAGAACTAAGTTAAATACACAATAAATCAACACAAGCCGTTTTTGTTGTTGTTTCTTCCAATTTCTCAGAAAAAGGATTACCGGCAAAGCCCTAGATTTGCCTATTTCGGTGATTGCTCAAGAATGTCTTACTTTAGTTTACAGAAGTTGTTTCATTTTTTTACTGCATGTACAATTAAATTATATTTGAATCCGGAAAAGACTCCCCCCCTTCCCCCCCCCATTTGCTGTATCAGTTGTGCATTAAAAATAGAGTGACTATGTTTCAAAAGGGTTAAAATATATATTTTCAGGAAAAGTGACAATAAGAACTGCATGACAGGTAGGGACACAGGAAGCTGTCTTATACCGATCCTTGCCATTGGTTCATCTGGCTCAGTATAGTCTACATTGACTGGTAGTGGCTCTCCAGGATTTCAGACAGGAGTCTTCCCAGTTCTATTTGGAGATGCTGGAAATTGAAACTGGGACTTGTGCATTCAATGGCAAATGCTTTCCTACCAAGCTACAGCTCTTCCCCACAGTGGGGGGAGATAATGGTGGCTGAGCTGTTTTTAAAGTAATGCTTTGGTTGATCTTTTAAAAGACTATTCAGAATTCAGATCTTTCCTTTTTAGCTTTACTAATCACATTTACTGAACCCATAACGTTTTATGGGAATTTTATTTTAAATTGAAAAACAGTCTAGAGTTGTCTGATACCTATAAGACGAGTGGCAGAAAACCTGCAAAAGGAACACTCTACACTGCAATCTTTTGCTGCAGGTCCCACTTTTAGATATCATGCAGATCTAATATTCACGCTATGTTTGCGCAGCTTGATTTTCACTGCGAACGATGCCTTATATTAAACTCAAATTAAACTTGCAATGCATAGTAACTTAAAACTGGCGCCGTTGTATGTTTGCTTAAAAGAATGGTCACCCAAGAAAGTAAATAGATATCAGAAGTGAGCACTAGTCAGACCCAACGCAAATTAAGCCTTGGTCACAATTTGACAGCTGAGCTGCTACTTATTATGCTTATGGTTGCAGGAATAGACTTCCAAACATGTGGACAGTGCGTGGTTGGGAACTCACAAATCAAAGAAATACTAAGCTGGACTCCTAGTGGCCAGTAAACAGGGATTCTGTGTCACTTCTACATAGCTGGGAAGTTCTGGGTGTATTCTGCAAATCAGCCCTCTTTGCATACCCAGCTCTTCAGATGAGTTTAAAGATAACATTTGAATGAAGAATTTGGAATGTTGGCTTCAATACAGATTCTTTGGTAATAACTTCTTTTTTGGCGATCACTCATAGCAGAGTAAGATTGTCTTCCATAAACACAGTTTTAACAATGAATCCGTAAATGACTGTGGAAGCCAATTCTGGATCCACACATCCTTCCACAGTGGGGACATTGGTTTCTGGGCAGGAGCTGATCACGGTGTGGATTTGCCAAGTGTGCCTTCCTCTTAGCACGTTTCTCCCTTGCGTCCTGAGTTCGAGTGTCTTCAAAGCCCATGACACCTTTGGTAAAGGCTGTTCTCCACACCCTGAATTGCAATTTGCCTAACTAAGACCATAAGAAGGGCTTGTTGCATCAGGCCATGCACTGTACCACATCTGGGTTAGGATATGGACAGGGTTGCCAGAGAGTCAAGAAAATGAATATTGAAAAATCTTTAAACCCCCCAATACAGCAGGAGATAAGGGGAAAGCCCTGATGTCCACCTTCCTCTACTGCTTACTGCTTACTGTATGACATACCTACATCACTATAGCAAGTTCAGGAGAGGATGGGCAATAGGACTGAGGAGGGAACATGCAGGAAAATCCTCACCTACTTTATCTCCTGCTGCATTGGATTTAATGCACATGAACCTTTTTCCAGCTTTGAGTCAGGAAACCCTGTTTGTGGCCCCTGTATTGAAGCCGTGTTGCTGTCAGTGGGGCTTTCCTGAAGATAGCTGGTGGCAGGATTGTGTCTTGAGCTTATGGGGTAAGCAATGATGGGGCTATATCTATTCCCACTGGAACAAAAGTGTGCACTTTTTGCAGAAAGAATGACTCGTCCTAATGTGCCTGCAGAAGTGATTCTCTCAATAGGCATTTGGTGGTGCGAATCGACTCTAGTTAACCTGAGAGAGGAGAGTGAGCAGCAGCTATGCCATTCACAGTCATTTCTTTTTCCTCATTGGCTTTATGTGTGAGGCTCTCTAATCTGCTGCTGCCTCTGTTTGCCTGACTCTTTAAATGGTCAACCTAAATGAGACACAATTACGCCTAATTGGACTAGCTGGGAAATAACAGTATCGAACATAAGTCTCTCTTTCCCTCTCCCCCAGGGTGTAGTGAGGATTAATTAGTTAATGCATGTTTTTTATTATTAAAAAAAAGGCTTTGAAGATAAAAGAGCTAAGCACAGTTAAGTAGAAAAGCCGAGGATCTTTCCTGCTTATTTCGCTAGTGGGCAGCTCTCTTTTCAGTTAACAAGTAATGATCTTGCAGTTTAGAAGTGGGGTGTTTGTGTCTCAGAAAGAACAGTAAGCAGTATCTGTGATGTATCTGTATTTGTGATGGTGTATCTGTGATGGTGTGGGACGCGGGTGGCGCTGTGGGTTAAACCACTGAGCTTAGGGCTTGCTGATCAGAAGGTCGGTGGTTCGAATCCCCACAATGGGGTGAGCTCCCGTTCCTCGGTCCCTGCTCCTGCCAACCTAGCAGTTCGAAAGCACGCCAAAGTGCAAGTAGATAAATAGGTACCACTCTGGCGGGAAGGTAAATGGCGTTTCCGTGCGCTGCTCTGGTTTGCCAGAAGCGGCTTAGTCATGCTGGCCACATGACCCGGAAGCTGTACGCCGGCTCCCTCAGCCAGTAAAGCGAGATGAGCACCACAACCCCAGAGTCGGCCATGACTGGACCTAATGCTCAGGGGTCCCTTTACCGTTACCTATCTGTGATGGTGCAGGATTGGCATGAATGGCTGGCAAGTTCAGGCATGAGTTGGAAGGCATGCCCAAGGAAGGGGACAGGGCGCTGCTGAGCAGAGCCAGACCACAGGGAGAAGGAAGAGGAAGAGGAGAAATTCCCTGATTGGCCACTTTGAGAATGCTAGTCTTGATGAGCCATTGGCCTGATCCAGCAGAGCTCTTCTGATGTAAAAGGCCCCTGACTGCTGGAGACCTTGCAGAGCCACTGCCAGTGAGGGTATATGATATGAGGCAAGCAGTCTAACCTAGTATATAGGCAATAGGATAGCCCTGAATACCACTGTTGGAAGCCATTGACATCCATCTTTCTCAGGAAACAGTGTAGGTGTGCCCCTTTGGGGGTGAAGTCAAACTGCTGGGAGATTCCAGTGCCAGCTGTGGCTGTAGAGACCGATACAGGAGAGACATGTTTCATTGCAGCTGGGGCAAATGGAGGCGTCCTATTGTGCTGCTGCAGATGTGCAATGCCATTTCTTCTCTCTGCACTCCACCCCGCGGTCATTCCTCTGGT